ACAGTAAATGGTAAATAGCGAATAGCTCTTCCTCGCCTCTTTCTTCGTTCTTGCTTTCTCCTCTCTTCTCAACTAAATAAATAAATAAAAGAAGGCTTTTGGTTGGGTGTTTTATGCATCCACATGTGATACTTTCCCTTTCATTTCCTTTTCCTTTTCCTTTTCCTTCCCTTCCCATCATGTTTCCCTACCCATTTTTTTCTTTTTCTTTGCTTCGTCTTTCCCACTTTTTCTTTCCTATCTCGTTGTCCTATCATCTCCTCTGTGGGACTGGGACTTGGATTGGGAAGTTTGTTTGAGAGCGCGATTGAGGGTGGGGGTGAGGTGTGGGTTGTGAGTTGGATGATTTGAATGGTATGTTTGCTAATTTATTGTAGTTGTAGTTGTGAGGATCGTGAGGGTTGAGGGGAAAGGGGAGAAAGGAAAAAGGGTGGACAGAGGGGGGGAAGGGGTGGGAAGGGTTAGTGATAGGGTTAGAGGTGTGGATATGGGTGTGGAGAGGGAGGGAGGGGCGGGGAAATGGAGATTGAAGAAAAAGGAGAGGGTGGAGGAATTTAGTGGAATAACGGATTTTTGAACAGAAGGGAAGGAAAGGGTCAAAAGATGAAGAGAAATGAGGAATAGAAAGCCTGGATTTGGGTCTTGGAATTTGGGATATTAGGAATAAAATGCAAGATAAGAGGAGAAATGGGAAGGAAGATAGTAATTCACAAAGAAGCTTCAAGTTGCGGGATCCTGGATTGCAGCATCAAGGGCAGCAAGAGGCGGACTTGAACACAAGTACTCACTCGCAGTAGTATAAGGTTTAAATTTGAATATGGGAGCTAGCGCTAAGGGAGAATGTCATGTAAAGGAATGGAATTACTCGCGTAGTTGGTGATTTAGCTGTAGGTGGGGAGGTTTGCGATGGCGAGGACTGCTCGCTTGTGCGCTTGTTATTAGTGTTTGTTTTCTGATTTGATATTAGGTGTAAAGTTTGGAAATAGAAAATAGAATAGGAAGAAATATATAACTCGAAGAGTGAAAAGAATAATAGGCAAATTAACAACAAAAAAGACTACATATACCAGCTGGTACCCAATGCCCGCAAGTTTCCAGTCCTTGCTCATTAACAATTTCTGGAAGAATCATTGGTGAACTGGGACTGTGAGACATAACTTCATAGCTTCATTGGTGATTAGGGTTGAACTTTGAGTCCTCCATACTTGTAAATGCTTGAATTGTAATATCACTTCCATTTTTAGATGCTAGTCTGACTTCTCTTGTAAGAGCATTATGCGCATCAGGATTCCTTACAAGATGAAGAAGAATAAAAGTTAACGTCGTAGCAATCGTCTCACTAACAATAATCACTATGTCTCTGATAGTATCCTCCATTCCTCCATTCCGATCATTGTGGGACCGCGAGTATCAGTACGAGCATCGGAAAAATATGTCATGAGATCTAAATATTTCCGACCTTTTAGTGGTCTTGGATTTAATCGTTCCTGGGTCAAGTCTTGAAGGGATTTACTGTAGACAACGCGTTTTTGGCGAGCGACTCTAAGCGATCGAGATATAGATTCAAGCAATTCTCACCGAAACACAGTAGCTACCTGAGGAAAGGAAGCAAATTCAAGTTTTTGCTTGCCTCGTTCCATGAGCGAATGGCAGTCTGAAGCTGCGGTACTACCAACTCACCAGAAATAATGTGCTTATGAAGAGTTGGTTGATTTTCTTCGGGGACTCGTGAAATTTGTATGACTGATTGCGTACATGTCTCGAGTGGATTTCTGAGAGAGCTTTCTTAGACTCGTCAACTCCATAGGCTTGAGTTGAGGTTGTATATGCATGACCACTGAGTTCTGAGCACTTGTCTGATGGGTATCAAATTGTAACTCTACATGAAGATGCCCAAGATAATCATTATATGAGAAAATCTTCTTATATTCAAAGTAGACTCTCGTATCAGACTCGAGAAGCTCTTGATGAAGAGCTCCCAAGACTGTTTCGAGGTAATGTGCAGAGATAATCTCATTAATTTGTGTTTATGAAGCAACTTCATAGGTAGGTACTCCATGAAATAACACGTGTAGGTAGTAATAAATGATTGATCTATCAACCAGCTAGAATACAAGATTGTTAAGACGGCTGTTATTGGTGAAGGGATATTTATTGACTAAGCAAGCCATCATCCTCCCACCGCCAAAATTCTGCCTAATGCCCTGCCAAAAAAAAGTCTGGATTGGAAGCATCTCGAAGTTGGTAGACATAAATAGACAAATTTAATAGTCATCTCATACAAAAGAGAAAAAAAACTTTTTAGATACGTTTTACTCAAAATTACAACCTTCTCTCCGATCTCATCTACAATTTCTCGAGAATCAAACATTTTCTTGTTCAATATACTATAATCCTCTTCGGCGCAAAGCAATTTCACCCCCCGGTTCTCAACTTTTCGATCATACAAATTTACACGACTTTCAGTTCTAGAAAAAATATAGAAATCTGCCATCATGGCTATGCCACCAGCGATGAACGAACTTCTCAAATGGAGTGTAGAGAACTCGACTGCCACCGCCGCCGATCCAGCCGCACCCCCTCCACAAACCCGAGCTCTCCCAGCGGATGCCATGAATGTGCTATTTGGTGGTCCCAGTGACGCCGACCTTATGAAGGCTTCCATATGGGCCGTTCAATCTACCGACCCCGAAGTTACTATTGAAGATAAAGTCATTGCATTCGACAACTTTGAACAACTTATTGAGAACCTCGACAATGCCAACAACATCGAGGTACTCGAGTTATGGAAACCGTTATTGGAGTTTTTGGGACATGAGGAGAAGGAGATCAGGAAAATGGCAGCTTGGTGCGTGGGAACAGCAGTGCAAAACAATGAGAAGAGTCAGAAGTCTATGTTGAAGGAAGGAGGTGTGCCACTTTTGGTCAAGATGTGTGTCAATGAGAAGGAAGAGAAGGATGTTAGGAGAAAGGCCGTTTATGCTTTGAGTAGTGCGATCAGAAATTTCCAGGAGGGAATGGATGCTGCGACGGAAGAGTTGGGCAAATTAGGAAGAAGTAGTGAGAAGATTGATGCGGCAGATATGGATGCCTGTGATGTCTTGATTGAGGGATTGAGGGAGGAGGCTGCAAATGCAGCGTGAGGATGAGATATCAATGAGGTTAAAACGATTGAGGGATACGAAATATAGCGAGAGCTACTACGTCACACGAATGATCTGGGATGGAGTTTTGGAGTCTGGTAGATTAGACATTTGGGAATGACACAGGGACATTGATATCCTGCCAATCTTGTTAAGGGGGAGGGAAGTTTCACGAGGACTTTCGAAATGAGGTTGCCACCTCACTCAGGACTTATTATAGAAAAGGCATGAAAGTTATATCTACAATTAAACATTCAAAGCTTTATTTGAGATACGTCTAAAAGCTTAAACAATACACGTTGAATCCCCAATATAAAACGAATTCATGCATAAATGCAAGTTGTTGATACTCCGTACAAGTAATCATCTGAAGATCTACCCCACCAAGCCCCTCAATTATTGCATGATTCTCACATCTCGCTCCCCGTATTGAACAAGTGTTTCCAACCGTCAAATGGCTTTTGTCTTTGACTCTCGGACTAGCAATGTAATTTCTTGGTTTGACACCAATGGGAAGTTGCCTCTCGCCGTTTTTATCTCAGGGGGCGGATGCTGTCTTGCTTCGGACCGTCGTATATCTACGTAGGCTCGTAGGCAATCGAAAACGATTACGAAGGATTGAATTTGGGTAGCTGGATATTGGTACATAGGTAGATATTGGGGTGATTATGGGAAGGAGACTTTGCTCGTTCTATAAGTAAATAGAGCAGATATACGTATGACAAGACAGACTTGACGAGAGATATCTTGAGATGCCTGCTTGGCACTCGCATACAAGACTCGTTCACTGATGACATGGTGAGATATCTGAAGTTATCAACCAATTATGGGAGAGATATTGTATCTGACTGAAAGTCTAACGCGCGTCTGATGGTGGTACATGAGACTTGAGTATAGACGTAGTGGTCATCGTATATCTAGGTAAGCTCATGCATGTAATATTGCAGCCTCATCATTTCCAAGAACGGGAATTGAGAGTTATATGCTCGGAGGGTTTGCACGATGAACATCCTATTCCACCTACCTTGGTAGAGTCGGTGAGACCTTGAATGACCCTGCTTGCATGGGGGTTGGTTCAACTTGGGCGTAGAAGGAAAAGGGGGAAAGGGGGAAGATCAAGAAGCTACCCAGTATTAGAATACTTTGGCTGAATGTTCCTGAGGAACCACGAAGGGATGAACACGAATAGAGGAACGGATAAGTTGGAAACCATAGAAGTTGTCCCTATCGACACCGACTTCTTCCAATTCACAGCCACCTGGATTTTTCTCATACCTGTTACCTATCCTATCTAATGGGCATAAATAATTCGGAATAGTTACATGCTGCTTTTAATCGTGTGTATATATATATATATATATATAGATTGCATATTGTAGTTTCCCTCGCTGGTCAGCATATGAAGCTATTTATATAATGCCCAGGTAGATCCATTCATCGATTCCCATCTCTTTCCTTTCTCTCCCAACAACACGATTCACTCTTACTGAGTCTCACACATACCTCCACCCCCTCTTTCTCCTTTCTACCTATCAAATCCTTCTTCAGCATTCTATCTTAAAGCGGCGAATACCAAATAAGATCGCTTCGCCTCCTGCAGTTACGGCCCACATTCAAACTTCGTGACATCGTCCTTTCCCATTTACTACGACCACGATCACCAATTCTTTTGACAAAACAACAACACACCTTCTTCTCTTTCAACCATCTTCTTTTTTATCAACCACGGGTTAACAACTACGTGAATCTTACTTTAATACAAAACTCCATCATTCTCGAGATCTTAATTATCACGAGAAGTAACTCACCGCCATATTCCTCAACTCTTTCTTTGACTTAACGTCTTAATTTATCACCATGGAAGGTAAGCTTCAATCCGACATGTGTATCGCATGTATATCCTTTGCGCAGTTATCTACATCATCATGACCATCTGCTAATATCATCTCTCAATCAACAGAAGAAGTCGCAGCCCTCGTCATTGACAATGGGTAAGCTCCCGTCCAACAAAATGGTCCTGAGCCTTGAGAGACAGAGGGGTAGCTTTCGGAAGGAATCAACAACCGACCGAGAAACCCCGAATCTTCTACAAAGGCGAAGACTTGATAAATAAGATGAACGAGACTGATGGGTTTTGTAGTTCTGGAATGTGTAAGGCCGGTTTCGCCGGTGACGATGCTCCAAGAGCTGTTTTCCGTAAGTAGATCATCCTTGCAGGCAACTGTTACAACCCACCACCTTGATGTCTATCAAATTCATACATCGACAACAATCTTGATGATAACGAAATATCTCTGACATGCAACATAGCTTCCATTGTCGGTCGTCCCCGTCATCACGGGTAAGAATTCCATTTCCACGACACCCCGCCATTTCCCCCACAACTCGTGTGACTCGAACAGGAACTGATAAGGGATATTATAGTATTATGATTGGTATGGGTCAAAAGGACTCATATGTTGGAGATGAAGCGCAATCCAAGCGTGGTATTCTTACCCTTAGATACCCAATTGAGCACGGTGTTGTCACCAACTGGGATGATATGGAGAAGATCTGGCATCACACTTTCTACAACGAACTTCGTGTAGCACCAGAGGAGCACCCAGTTTTGCTTACTGAGGCCCCCATCAACCCAAAGTCCAACAGAGAAAAGATGACACAAATCGTCTTCGAGACCTTCAACGCCCCTGCATTCTACGTCTCTATTCAAGCCGTCCTCTCCCTTTACGCTTCCGGTCGTACCACCGGTATCGTTCTCGATTCCGGTGATGGAGTTACTCACGTTGTTCCAATTTACGAAGGTTTCTCTCTTCCTCACGCCATTGCTCGTGTTGACATGGCTGGTCGTGATTTGACTGATTACCTCATGAAGATCTTGGCTGAGCGTGGTTACACTTTCTCCACCACTGCCGAGCGTGAAATCGTCCGTGATATCAAGGAGAAGCTCTGTTATGTTGCTCTTGATTTCGAGCAAGAAATTCAAACCGCTAGTCAATCCTCCAGTTTGGAGAAGTCATACGAACTTCCTGATGGACAAGTTATTACCATCGGTAACGAGCGTTTCCGTGCTCCAGAAGCTTTGTTCCAGCCATCTGTCTTGGGTCTTGAGAGCGGTGGTATCCACGTTACTACCTTCAACTCCATCATGAAGTGTGATGTCGATGTCCGTAAGGATTTGTATGGTAACATTGTCATGGTAAGAATTTCCATCCGCGACGTTTCCAGGACGTTACGCTAACATTTTATCACAGTCTGGTGGAACTACCATGTACCCAGGTATCTCCGATCGTATGCAAAAGGAAATCACTGCTCTTGCACCATCATCGATGAAGGTCAAGATCATTGCACCACCCGAGAGAAAATACTCCGTCTGGATCGGTGGTTCTATTTTGGCATCTTTGTCTACCTTCCAACAGATGTGGATCTCAAAGCAAGAGTACGACGAGTCTGGACCATCCATTGTCCACCGCAAGTGTTTCTAAGGTATGCAATTATCCCTGATTCCTATGATGATGGGGTTATGCTAATCATCGGTATTGTAGCGTATCACGGTCGATTTGTGTTTACATCACGAACTTCACGAATTTGATCCAGAAGAAGATTCGAACAAAACAACAACTCCCAGTGTTTTGTTTCGCCGCGAAGTGTTGTTCCGAAAAGTTATGGTAGCGATTGAGCGACTGAGTGGACTCTTTCGAAGTAGCGGATGGGCTTTGATCTAGCTGGCTGTTTGCTTGGAGGAGGAATTCGAAATGTCGTATCAATCATACAAAGCTTTTTTTCTTACTTTTTAGTGGTGCCAACTTCTTCATGTGTTTTTGAGCTGCACCATTTTTTTTGTTCTTCATTCATAGCGCGAGAAAATTTCTTCTCTAGAGAATCAAATTAAAAGGTAGTACACTGATTTATAATTTAGTTCACTCGGGCTTTGAGGGAATGTGACTTGATGCGTGTGATGATGGTATTATGATGTGTGTGCCTTTAAATGTGCATGATAGATGTTACAATAAATATGCCTGTCCTTGTGATAATTTGATACAGTTAATTCATCCCTAATCTAAAATACTTGCCTAGCTCTGCATCGCCCAAAATTCCTTAGCTGCACCATGCAGCGCGAGTACTACTTCGCTAATGCATTTCTTTCCCCATCAATCATGTCCGAACGGCACGAATTCACTTCCATGATTTGTACAAGCAACTGTCATTCTCGAAGCACCTTGTGTGTCCTATAACTTACATTCTTCGTAACCATTCTTTCGCTCTCTAATCTCAAAGCCATCTGTTGTCTTCTTGTAATGGCCATGGGATCTAGTACGAGTTTAGGCTTGGGCAGGAGCTTCGACCATGGCATATTCGTCTTGCATTCCTCTTCATATTCTGCTATGGTGGTTCTGTCTGCGTATTGGTTAATATCTGCGTAGTATTGGTCAATCGGTGACGATGGGGAGCATAGTGGTTCTAGAGAATATGGTGATTGTGGAGGGGGCGTTGAGCGAGGTCTTGGCCGCGCAGAGCTGAGCTGAAATGTGAGGTACAGGATTGTGGATGGGGAGGTGAGAGAATACATCCACATATATCCATCGAGTGATGGAATGATGGCGGCTCTGGGAGGTAAGACACGGAAAGATTTTGAGGATGGTCTGAAGTTCAACAGTGCCGGATCGATGGAGATTTCGAGGGCGAGGGTGGAAATTTGGGAGATGAGCCAGCAATAGAAGGGCTCGGTGCTTAAAAGATCTTCAGACATTCGGTTGCTGATTGGGAGAAAGAGTGTATCGAGACAACTATGAATATAGAAAGGTTTGTTGCGGAACGTTTGGACTGTATATTCGTCGAGGCAGATGAGACGACTTTCTTGGGTTGTGAAAAAAAGGGCGGGAGGTGGTCTGCGACGGGGATATTGCGCTTTATGTTCATCTAAAAGGAGGGGGTATTAGTTGATTGTAAGTGTGCATATTTGACAAGTAAAATTGGTGAGCACACCATTGGGGAAATCTAAGGAGGGCTCTAAGACGCGGGGGAGGATGGCTAGATGCCATATTTTGTAGCGCAGTTCTGTGGGAATACTGGGGAAAAGATGGAATTGAGTGAGTGTAGGTGAGGTTGGGTCATCATGATCTCCTTGTTGAATATCACTGCTTGAATACAATCGTGGGAGTAATTTGTGCATTTTTGAAGCTTAATTTACTGTGTTGCTATTCTAGAACCTAGAATATATATCAAATATAGCTTGATGTGCACACTCGCTTAATTACTAATGCCACGCCGGTGTCTTGAAGATGCGGCCGAGCTTCAGCGTAATCCGTGTCTCGAAACCCAGTAAATCTCCAAGCTTCCATAATTGATAGCACGTTTGCGAATGGTATGAAAAACATCGGAAAAGTAATGCGATTTCAGTAATATAGGATATGTCAGGAAGAGGATATGGTGGTCTCGGGGGGGACCCTTACGTGAACGGCAATTCTACTGGATATGCGAATGGGAATGGATATGGAAATGACAGCTGGAATGGGAATGCAAATACAAATGCAAGTGCCTATCCGGGACAAATAACTGAAGATGGAAGTTATGATCCCTATGGCTCTGGCCCTGATCGATATGCCACTCCACCCCCTATACCAGAAGGGCTTCGAACACCATCACCTTCTATGCCTCGAACACCCCGATCGAGAGGTCTTTCACGACCAAGAGAACCAGCTGGCAGACCAAAGTTAGAGGAAACCAACGCAGAGAAACAGATTGGGGAAGTGCTAGAACACATTAAGACGGAATGGCCTGCGTTGTGTCAAAATGAATGTGTGCCAGTACAGTTGGCATTGCAGCTTCTAGACACGAGTTCAGTTGGCAAGGCTCATGAATATGCGCAGTTTCAACAATCGATGCAATATCTACAAGACTCTTTGAAGAATATCGTACATGAACATCATCAGGGATTCAATAGTTCTATTGGTACTTTCCATAAGATTCAAACGAGTATTCAGACATCGCAGAAGAGGGTACGCACATTGAAGGATTCGCTCGCACAATCGAAAGCCAATCTCTCGACTACGGATCCCGAATTGAGGAAATTGGGCGCGGCCTCGACGATTTATGATCAATTGTTACATACACTCTCGGAGGTGGAGGAGTTACGGCTGGTTCCGGATCAATTAGAAGCACGGATTTCAGAGAAGAGATTCTTGACTGCGGTAGATGTGTTGCAGGATGCGTTGAGGAGAATTCGATCGCCTGAGTTGGATGATATTGGAGCTTTGAGTGAATTGAGGACTTATCTTGCTAATCAGGAAACGGCCTTGACGGATATATTGATTGAGGAACTTCATGATCATTTGTATCTGAAGTCGCCTTACTGCCAGGAGAGATGGCAGATGCTGGCTAAGACTCAAGGTGGTGCTGCGAAAGAGAAGTTCGAGAGTTCAATGACAGTGAGGCCATTTTTCGAGGTTCTTGACACGATGGATTTGGCAGAGCCGATGGTAGAAGATGCGTCAAGAAACCCAGAAGCGGATACATTCTACTATGTGGAACTATTGACAGAGGCATTGAATAAGCTGGGTCGTTTGGATATTGCCGTGAATACTATCAAACAGAGACTTCCTGTCGAGCTATTTGGCATTGTCAATGAGACTAATAGCGAAGTCGATCAAAAACATCCAAGCTCTTTACGTGGTGGACTCGCATCTACACAGGGAAACCAAACATTCTCTAGTCGAGAGAATACGATTCGTACCGATGTTATCTATGATCTATTATGGACGTTGTACGCGAAGTTTGAGGCTATTGCTGAGGGTCATCGTGTATTTCATGATGTGGTAAAGGCTATCACAAAAAGAGAAGGCATGAGGAATTCAGTCATACTTCTTGGTGGTTTCAGGGAATTATGGAATCTATACCAGAACGAAATTCGCTCCTTGCTGCATAATTATGTCACTACAGATGCGGATGTCTACCAATTCGATTCTCCCAGACCTGGTGCATCGAAATCGTCTAAGCTAGAAAAGCTATTTAGGTTTTCGGATGCTGATGCTAAGTCTGTTTCTATGACGACTGAATATGAAGATCTGGAGAACATCATCAGAGCTGCTGTACCGGGTCTCATGTCGAGCTCGAGGAAATCAGGTGCCGATAGTAAGAAAGTGAAATCCTTCTTGGAGAGCTCTGTGGTCAGAAATGGAACAAAACGTTTGACTGGTTCCGCTTTTGATGCTAAAACGGGTGGTATGGGAACTCACAAGTCTTTGGTAGAGCCGAGTGTGTTCAACATGAGTCTGTTGTTGCCTCCTACTTTGAGCTTCCTACAAAGATTAAAGGCCATTGTTCCACCTGGTTCGGATTTGGTTACAAGTACTTTGACGTCGTTTCTGGATAACTTCCTTGTCAATGTATTTCTACCTCAACTTGATGAAACTCTAGGCAAGCTTAGTGATTCAGTATTTGAGGAGACAGATGCATTCCAACAAGATGCTCAATGGGCAAGAGTTTCCAGGCGACCTATTTTCAAAGGCACAGCTGCTTTCTTTACATTAATTACAGCTTTTTGCAGGATGTTGGATACAATTCCACATGATCAAGCATTGAGTCAACTTATCATCACGCAAATGATGAGATATTATGATAGATGCTATGACTGGTTCAAATCGCTCGTATCACGAGTTCGAGATTCCGAAGGTTCGACATTGAAGCTCTCTGCACTGCTTGCTAGTGAAGCTGGTGATATTCACGATACCATGCAGAAGATATGGACAAGTGAAGAAGTCGATTATCAATTACTAGACGAGGAAACTGGCCTTTTAATTCTACAGACAAATGAGAATCCTCTTCAGGCGGATGATCTTATTTCAGATCGTGAAACTATCTCTTCTCTTTGCGTTTTATACACCAGTATGAAATGGTTAGCTATCAAAATCGGTCAGCTGAGACATATCACGAGAAATGATGCAGATTCATCTCGTACACCATCAATGCAGAAACCTCCTCATAGACGTTGGACTTTACTAAATGATCCTGCGAGAGCACAAGATGAACAGGGTGTGGTTTATCTTCCAATGACGCAAGAAACTGTTGTGTAAGTCCTCTCCCCCTTCATGCTTCGATCCATGGCTAATGTGATATATAGCGCCTTCGATTCAATCGTTTCCTCATTCCAAGAACTAGCCGCTACTGTCCTCCTAACCCTGCACATGGAAACACGCATTCAAATCCTTCACTCCCTAGCACGCGTTCTCTCGCCCTCCTCGGGATCAAATACTTACCCATATATTCTTTCCCAACCTGTCTCAGACCCTGACCCAACTATCCTTTCTCTAAACGCAGACTTAGTGGCATATGATGAAACGATAGTGAAGTTCTTAAGAGAGAAAGAAATGAACTTCGTGAGAAAGGGACTTGGATTATTGATTGATACATTCATGGTCGATAACGCGCCGAAAATCCAAAGAATAAATAAAGAGGGAGGAAAAAGAATGAGATTAAACGTACTAGTACTGCAGCAAAACTTGAAGGGCGTAGAGGATGGAGTGGGCTTGATTAGGAGTGGAAGATATTGGGGATTGTTCGAGGAAGGACCTGATGGGATTGTGGGTTGGGCGAAGGAGAAGGGTGGTGCGAATGCTGGGAATGCGAACGGGGATGGGGAGGGTGAGGATCAGGAGGTCAAGTTTACTTATGATGAGTTGAAGGGGTTGGCTGAGTTGTGCTTTAGTGAACAGTTGGGAAGTAACGAGAGAGGAATCACGACAGTGGCTAAGAGGGGAATGGGAGAGTGTATGTTGCAGTTGAGTGAGCATATGTGGCAGAGCTGAATGGGGCGGGAAATGAAGGAAGAGAGGGGAGGGAGAGAGAGAGGGAAGGATTTGAAGGTGGAATCAATTAAGCTTACATCAAACTCCTTGGGATATGCATAAATGGGTGGACGGATGGATTGATTGATATGCATTTGGCGCGGAGTTTTTGGAGTCATGGGTGGATTTGACAAGATGAATGGGGATTGTTGGGCAGATGAGGAAATGTATGGTATGGTCTTATGACCTTGTGTAGCTGATCGCCAGGTGATGGTTCATAGTTAATGGTTGGTAATTAGGAAATCTATGGAAATTATATCTAGATGTCTGGTATGAGTTTATTGAGTGTTCAGCAAGCAAGGTGTGGAGAGGTTCGTTCCTTTTGCTGAAATCGATGAGAACGTTGTAGATTGAGGATTGAGTGATGGTGGTGGTGATGGTGATGGTGATTACATATCGCTTCTGAGAATGAAGTGTAGGTTTGTATGCTTTAGTATAAGAGGGAGTGAAATTCGAGAAAATATGATTGGGATTTGATCATTGGAAGAAACAACTTCTGGTGAACGCTACAGATTCCCGGTGAGGTGTGGAATATTACTGAGAAGTACAGCATTTAAGGTTCTGGTTCAAGTACCTAGTACTGTTATGATATACTAGGATGTATAGGCATTGAAAGTTGCATCTTAATTAGATATTATATGAAATATAACATAGGTCTAGCTAGTATAATCTCATGATAACTGACTCCTCGACCATGAAATCCAAGAGAGGAGATGTTACTCACGTGATGGTTATACAAACGCTCACCTAACCTCGTGCAAACTTCTCATCTGTGTGTGTTATAATTCGAGTTGGAAAATCTATGGACGAATCTTGATGCATCCATACTCATATTCGCTGGGAATTTGGTTGGTCTGATGTCTATGTATTTATTAATCGAATTGGGAATATCTTGAAGTATAACTAGGAACCTAAGATTTACAGTAACCTTACCCGTACCGTACTAAGGCTACCTACTTACTTTTCAAGGTTACCCCGCCCCCCACAAGTTCAAAAAAGTTCTCACACATTTCCGCTGAGCATAGGATAGCATCATCACGAGTTTTCCTATCCAGTCCCATTGATATCTTTCCGCTCCGCCTGGACAATTTCTATTACACATACCTACATGTGTTTTATTTATCCCTCCCTCATCTCATCTCATACCTCTTTGTTCATGTTCTAGAAGCATACACATACACACATCTAAATCCCAACTCCCCAAATACGATAATGGCACCCTCACCCCTCCAACAAAGAAGAACGCATAATACACTACTTTTTCAGAAATTGCTGAATTTGAGAGATGGAGCGAGTCCGCTTACGTTGGTGCTGGATTCGTTGGAGCAGAGTGGGAGGGGGGTTGTGAGGGAGTTTTGGAGGAGAGCTTTGGTGAGTATTCTTTTCTTTGATGGGGGGAGTTCTTTGGGGGTTGGGGTCTAGAGAGGGGGAGAGGGGAGAGGGGGAAGGAGAGGGGAGGGGAGGGGAAGGGCTTGGGCCTGAGGTGATAAAGAGTCAGATGAGAGGATAGAATGATGGATGCTGTGTACGAGTAGTTCTCGTATTATATGGAAAATTGTGCTGGATGGGTGATCACGTGGATTGATGAATTGCCATATTTCCTGATAGATTGTTTCTGGATTTTGGTTTCTTTTAGGTCTTCAACTATACTGACTAATACTTACAGATTTCGAAATCAAAAGTCATCTTCGTATCTTTCTCTACTCTCCAAAAACGTCTACCCTTTGCTCCAGATGTTTTTGTCTCAGCTCATAGTAAACCACTTGCTCAACTTCGTCGAGAAATTGTAGCGCATTTACCTTCGCCTACAACTCCCCCTTCAGCTTCTCAGCAAAGTATGTTTCTCTTCCCTTCTGGTATAGATAATATGTGAATCAATCAACTGACATAATCCAGAAATCCTCCTCATTATCGATAATCTCCATCCCCTCGCAGCTCACCCAGAGCACCTCTCCCCATTCCTCTCTTCCCTGATTATCCACCCCACAATCTCTCTCCTCTGTACCCACCACCTTGACATCCCTCTTCCCTCCTCAACAACAAATCCCTACATCCCCACTTCCCTCACAACTCTCCTCTTCCTCGCCACCGCCATCATCACCCCCCAAAACTTCACCCACGAATTGGCCCGCAAACGAGCGCGCGACAAGTCAGCACGCGAACCCGAATTCGGCACCGCAGAGGGAAAAGAAGGTGTACTTATGGGTTTTGGCAATAATGCTAGTATGACCAGCGAAGCGAAAAACGGGGAAATCGTCCTAATCCTCGAACTGCGACGGAAATCCGGAAGAGGAACTCGTGAAACTTTCATCTACACACCGCCTTCACATCATACCACATCTCCCACGACGAAAGATATAGGAAGCATTCAACTTCTCGATGAGCATCCTGCTTTCGCGGTCCCGGATATCTCGGATGCGGCGATGGGGAAGGAGGAGGAGGGGATAGAGGGCGATGTAACGTTTTCCCTGGGATTGACGGAGAAACAGAAGAGGGATAGGGAGAATGTTGTACTGCCGTATTTTGATGCGCAGAAAGAGGGTGGGATTGGGAGTGGTGGAAAGATTCTTTATGAGATGGGAGCGGAGGATAGAGAAGATTTTGATGATGAGGAGGATGAGATTTAGGAGGAGAAGTGGTTTTGGTTTCGCGCTTATTTGGAGGGGGGTGAGCTGATGATGTCTTGTCTGGAATGAAGTTTTGAGATTGAGATTCTTGAATAGAATGGTAGATTAGGGGTTCGTACTCTCGAATTCTTGAGTATCTGCGTAGATAGATAGTCTATCAATTTGAGAACTGATATCTTGATGGTTGATTGATCGAATGGAGAGACTCTGATAGAACTAGCAAGAAGAAATACCTACAAAAATATCCCATATCCAAAATCGTTTGTTTGTTTGTTTGGAATAATAGACAATCGACTGTATATTTCAATGAGTGATATCATGTGATGCTATACTCGTAAGATTGCCGTGTACCAAGAGTCAGAAGTCCCTTTTGAGGGTTTAGAGTCCCATAGAAAGGTATGCCGTTTTGTATGTCCTATACTATGTATTGGTGGAAAATTGAAATGTGATCTTGTAGATGGAGATTAGAGGTTGGAGATTGGACATTTTTTTCGCTTGAATGAAAGTTCATTCCATCTCGTCTTATTGTCGTTTTCATTTTCATTGTTATTGTTATTATCATTGATATGGCCGCTATTGAGAGATGAAGGTTGTATTTGGTGTGGGAGTGGGAGGAGGCTGGATGTGGTTGTGTGTGGATGTGGATGTGGTTGTGGTTGTGGTTGTGTGGATTTCTATCTTGGGTTTGGATTTGGATTTGGTTGAAGGGGTGGAATGGGTTGAAGGGGTTGGAGAATTCATCTTAATGATGGTTATGGAAGTCAATAGTAAATGAGCGGAGAGGATGGGGATATACTTATCAAGAAGAGGAGAGTGGATGAGCTGGGATGGGTTTGGATGTTAGTGGAGGAGAGAGATCAGGGATGGAAATGGGAAATGGGAAATGGGAAATGGGAGGAGCGTGGAGGAGCGTGGAGGAGCGTGGAGGAATATGGAGGAGGCTGGATGGAAAGAGGAAGAGAGTGGAGAGGAATGGGATGGATAGACGTTGGTAATGGAGCGAAGGCGGGAACTAGTATAAGAGTATGTCAGTGAGTGTGTGTTTGCTTTTGCTTTTACTTTTACTTTTCTTTTGCTTTTATTTTTGCTGTGGTTTGTTATGTTATAGTTTTATTATAGATATGGAATTTATATGGATTTGCCCTTTGTATGGATATTAGGTTTCTACGATATGGATGTTATATGGATATGAATTCAAACCGATCTAATCTGGTCTTTTTGTTATAGTATATATATATCTACGTACGTACATTCGTGTATGTGTGATTTACATGTGTGATCTAAATACGATTTATATATATCCCACATTTTTATACAACTTGCAAATACAATTCAAGTCTGAATCATAAAAGCTAAACACATCGCACCAAGAAAAGAAAAAGTCCGAGATGGTAACAGGGTTTGATTCTGAAAGGCATAGATAGAATACACTGGATTCTGGATTGTGGATTCTTGAGTTTGGGAGGAGGGTTATTCTGTTTGGAAGAGAGAATGTGGAGATGTATGTAGCGGAAGAGGAATGGGGAGACAAGGGATGGAATCAGTAGGGAGGGAGAGGGAATCACGTATCAACAACGCATCCAAGAATGAGAACGCACAAAAAAGGAAGAGAGAAAACTGAAAGAAAGTCAAAATTCCAGACTGAGTACCCAAAAACAACTTCACAGCATTCTAAATTCCAAATACCAACAAACCGAGGTAGTCGTAAAATACGCGCCAACTTCCCCCTTTCTTCCCCGGATACCTACTCAGTAAGACCTTACATTTAACGATTTACCATCGCAGATCATTCCGCCAATCCATGCATATATGTATGTAGATCATTCACGACGACTACCTAGTCCTTCAAACATTTCAAATATTCCAAATAATGATATCCATCATCAGATGGCACCAAAATTGATACACACCATTCAGACCCAAAAATTGAAATTCCAGAAACACGGAAAGAAAGGGTGGAGGTGGAGCGGAAAACACGGAGTGGAGTGATATATGCGATAAAGCATGAAGCTATTCACTCTCCGACTCACAAATCCTATTGAATTTTTTCGCGGCTCCGAGACACGAAAAGACCCTTTTGAAGATCTTGTCGAAGACCTTTCGATTCAGGGTCCTCCGATCTGTATCTCTGTCTCACAATGTTCGTTGCGGTATGCGAATCGACGCTATATCGCTTGACAGCTGCTAGTTTGCGCGCTAAATCTCATGAATCACCTCCTCCATTTACCGCTAGTTTGAGGACTGCAACAAAGGGACACCAAACAACACCGATACAATAGTACACACCAATAGTCGAATCTTCTCCATATGTTCCAGAAGGTGCCTAGTGCCATGTAACAATAAACGTTGTTCAATAATTTCCTTTATAATTATCGAGCACCGATACAAGATGCAAACAACAATCCAATAACAATCCAATAGTTCTCAAACAAAGGCGGACACGTGGCTATAAAACCACCACATATAGGACCCCTTGTCGATCTCTTTTTTCTTTCCCCATCCACTCTGGTTCGCGCCAAAGCAAATCAGACATCTTAACGAGCTCCCCCAATAAGCTAAACCAATCAAGTTCTAGTCTAGCCACTCTAGTCTCAAGTCAAAGTAAGTCATCCTAATTTCTCTAACCATGGACAACATTATGACTCGACCCGTGAAGTCAACCGAGATAAAGGCCTGGGGGAAATTCTAACACCAACAGAATACCGCAACCGCGGAATCAAAGTGATCCGCGCCATAGAGGACGCTCTCCACACCATCCCCCGTCAAGACACTCTATTTCCTGATTGGAACATTCGCTATTTCAACCCTAGCGGAGGCCATGGGAAAGACAGTGTCGAAAGACTCTGTTTCGGCGCCCTTCGCAACATCCTCACCGACCCAAAGCATCCCATCGACTTCGAAGGCAATCACTGGTCCGACTTCAACTTCCATTCGAAAGAATACACCAACAGGGGTTTTGATGCAGAGTGGCCCCAATTCAATTGCGTCTGCAACGTATGGGTATCTGCCAAGGTGGGTACAGTCATAGTGCAGATTTCAGATACGAAGACCGACCTCGACATTCCCGGTCTAGATACACCACGTCTCTACAATAGTGAGCTCATCTATCAAGCTTGGCGCGATGCGGTCACTGCGAATGTGATAGGCGAAGCTCCCCAAGACCGAGTCGTGTCAAAACTTACAGATTTGAAGTACATCATCCGTGCTCCGATTGGTAACTCAGGAACTCTTGCTACCATGAGAGATGTCCTTCTCTCGCAAGGTGTCTCGAAAGACCAACTCGAGAGTAAAGTAACGGTGAAGCGAACTGTTGACGACCCATCGAGTGATGAGTTCAAGATGTTGATGGGGACCGTGAATGGAAGAGCCATTGGTAGGTTGTGCGCTGACCACGTGGAGAGTTTGAACGGGAAAAAGGTACAGAAGATACATGTATGGAACGAATTCATACCATCTTTTGGCGCCTTGATCTTCGAACTAGGCGAGGACAAAGCTTTGACCGAACTCGAGAGAGGAGAAAGCACCCGTCACAAAGGTAAGTCAACCACCACACAAGCTCCTTCACAAGCTCCTTCATCCTCCCGTCCCCCCTTAGCAGCCCCGGCCAAAGTCACTAGGAAGATTAGCGAGAGAGTAAAGAATTTGATGAAGAAGTTTCAGGAGTGATTCTCGTTAATGAGATAAGAGCACTGACGCCAAGATCTCTCAAATGTTATCAGTAGATTTGGAATTTAGTTTCCTAAATTCCGTTGATACATAACATCCTCGAGCCTTTTCCTACTTTGGAGTTGGTCTCTTTATGAAAGCATTTCCATAAAAACCAAAACAAGAACCATAATAAAAATTACATAAAAATATAAAACGCCGAATAAACTTGATAAATAGAATAGTCGTGATTACAAAGGTAATTGAAATTTGAAAGTCTCAGCGTGAAAATTTTAACAGAGTGCCGATGCACTAGCAAAGTAAAAATGAAATGTCAACTGCCTAACTAAAGACTATCTGGCCCCAGAGCAACAGATAGCTATCCCACACGGTACTCATATAACCTATGTCAACGGAGTCGACTTAGTCGTCTACATTTACAAGATCTCTCAACTCTCCACCTCTCCACCCCAATCTTCCACTACCCCTCAGCCTCCTCCATTCCAAATATCTTACTTACATTGAATCAGGAGCTCAGCTATCTGTACCAAGATCATATACAACATGTAAGTACCCAACCAATGCACTGAGTGATACGTATGCCAGACAGCTAAAATCCTTCACATCTCCCCATAAAATTTTTACTACATCACTCTCTTCTCCTTCCTCTCGTTTGCACTAACACACGAAAGTGGAAAACCAAGCCAAGAACTCATCTCAATACATAGGTTCCTCTCTCCATCCTCGAAATTTGCCATCCCATCTTTCCCAAAGGTAATGCTTCAAAAAATCTATTGTTCACATCGAAACACACGCAAGAGATGACAATAGCAACAGCAGTACCTCGGCAAAGGAAAATATTCCACTCCTCAAGCGCGGAGCAATCGCGACTTGAAATTACAGTATCAAAAATGGGGTTTGTAGGAGACGTGTGAAGAAAAGAAAGTTCCTCTCACCCAGATCTTTCATGCCGGCGATGAGGCTCGTATGCAAACCTAGACCTACATCTAACTATATCCTCAAGTCTTTTTCGGATATGATTAAAGAGGTTCATAAATCACGTGCATATGTGCATATGCAGGAACTAGAGCTGTCGCATGAAGTGGATTGAATCCCGCAAACCCAGTAAATCTCGAGATCTTCAAACCCTACCCTGTTGCCGAGGCGAGACAGAGATGCCTCCGCGAGAACGATGGAATCCCATCTAGGTGGTATGGATTGCAGATATCCCATAGTTATTTTCGATATGTAAAGAGCGCCCTGCAGTAGAGGCTGCACTGCAGTATCGAGGAACTATCGGTTTCCGCCATGGAAGATTCATCGGGCCCTCAGCTGGCATTGCTAAACAATACAAGATTCGTAATATCTGCAAGAAGCTAACGTGCATGAAGATATGTAACTCCAGATGGGGCAAATGCGATTGGCAGATATCATAACCTAATGGAGAAGCTGTATGCAGTGGGAGTCATGAAAAGTAAAACACCGCTGAATCGGAGAACGCTTGGACAGGTAAAACAATAGAACGTTTCTGTATTCTCACCTCGAAACCATGATCAGGAAATTTGAGAAACGGGATCTCCGAGGACAAAACAATATAGTGACCTCTCTAATCTGCTACTCCCTGTTTCTGCTATCAGATGACTTCTCATTCAACATGAACTCCATGATGCTGTCTGATTTATATTGAGATGGCCATTTTTCCAATGACACATTTGGTTGTACTCGCGATTGTTAGTGAGCTAACATTCCTGTAGTAAGATTGATTAGCTTGACTACAGGCGGATGTAAATATTCAGCAGTAAAGTAACAAGGATGGCGAGATTGGAGGAGTTCACTGTATACAACGTGGTGTGTTGCTCCATTGATATGTCTTACGGCAATTGACCTAGTTGATCTGCGAACCAGATCATGCAGGAGGGAGAGTTAATGCAAGTTCCTGCTCTTGATTTTTCAAGTCTAAGAGGTGATTTCCATAGCTGAAAAATGCCATACCATGAAAGAAATGCTATCTTAGTAAATGAATGGAGATTAAAGAGAAGGCTCACGGCTAGAAGAAGCGTCATGATAGGATATTGTGGAGTGAAGTACGTGGTGAAAAGGAAAAATTGTCAAGGAAGAAGAGAGGGGCAACAGGCTATACCGGCAAACGTGAAGTGGAGAATTCCGCCCCACTCACCAAAGCGGAGTGGATTGGAATGTAGTTATCCAGCAATCCGAAATATCGCTAAGCCTTCATCCGAGCTAAACGATGAAACTCGATAAATGACAGCGGTTGCGCGCCGCGCTTTGACAGCCACAATATATTAAAGTTCTCGGCTCTTCCCCTTCTCATTTCTGGGGTTCCATCCAAGTCCGAGGACGAGGGGTAATTCTTGCCATGTGTATACATGGAAACGTTCATGATATTCGGCCGGTAAACCAATTATACCAATGAATTTATGTTTTATTTCCTGTTTAAGAAAGATTCAGTGCGACTGTTTTGTAGCCAAAGTGGGCCAGTCTTACAGCAGAGTTACTAAATCCTCAGATGCTGCATGGAAGTAGTGCGATGAAGACTCTTTACCCTGTCTACTCTGGGTGATCAGACTTAAGGACTAACCATCATGGGGAGGATAGTTGATCATTTATTGTCAATCAAAATTGAGTGTTTTCTTTAAAGTTTAATCACATCAACGTTGGTATACGAGAGTTGATTGAAACGTGTTGATATTAATAACCACGGTATATAGATGATATGATGAGATGCTTCATTTTACTTTTATGAAACGGGTGCTAAATGACAGGGAATCGGGTGATATACCAACTCAAAATTGCCCCCAATCTTCACCTCTCTCTGGTGGGATTGAATTTGTGGGATGGGCTCAAACACTCAAACATGATTCTTGAGTCAAAGCCCTAAGCATAAGCAAGATTATTATGTGTGATACTGCTATAGAGGTTTCATCTGCCGCGCCCTCGTCGGATAGCGCGAGTAAAAAAAAATTAAGTTCTCTTGAAGTGCAAACTCTCTGCAGCTCAGAGCATAGATACCAGCAGGTCTGTTCTTTGCTAATCTCCTTGGAGACACTTGAGATTTTAAGCGGGCGGAAATAACAATAGATGTGATGTCCGCAATAGACACGAGATCAGTAATCTTCAATATGACGCAATGGCAGCTGTGATCGATCGTGTTCTAGCCAAAAACCTCTTGTAGAGTTTGAAAGACGAACCTAAACGGTTGAAGTTTGCGAATCAAGCAAAAGAAAAACATCCAAACGTGCATATTTCGAGAATTTTGGAATCTTACTTGAACCAGTGCATGCATAAGACTTGTCACTTAAAGCCGCATGCATCAGTACGGAGTAAGATCATGAAAATAGAAGCGAGAATAGACTTTACAAGGGTGATTCGGGTCTGGGAGCGGCCTAGCGCTTCTTAACTGATCCCTGTGTGACCCTTTTCAATGCATGAAGGTCTTGTTGGAGATTGCACTATCTGATGACCCAAATACAATTGAAATGGGCCTTTAAAGATTGGGACGAGCTTATGGAGCATCGATGAAGAAAATACTAAACCAGGAATGGGCAAAGGCTGTACTGCCTCGTAAACTCGCGTTTGACCCGCATTGTCTGGTTGCTTTTTATGTGGTCAAGAGTGGCTTGTAGTATGATCTTCGTAACTAATCATCCATATCCCGTGATAGAGGGTCAGAGTAAAATTTACATACAATAAGGTCGACTGTAATTTGCATAATCTGAGAATATGATGCCTGTGGATTGTGTTGACAGCCAAATTTGCATGGTTCGTAATCAGATGGTTGGGGACCCTGTAGGGATTCAATCTGCCTCTGCACAGACCTTGGTATGTTGACGAGACGATATAGGAAACGATTAGAATGATGAACGTCTGTGCGAAAGCCTCCAAGAGCAGGGGGGCCTTCAGGTTGAGGTGAGACTTACATGGTAGGTTGGAAAGGTAATGTGTGACCAAGGTATTTACTGTTTCGATTCGGCACCAAATGGAGAACTCGGGAGTCTGTGCAAAAGGTATAAAATTATCGGATGAGACCCTTGAGAAGTCGGGACTAGACTGCTTCTAATTCTGAAAGAAGAGAGATAGTCAACCAAGTGTTTCTTACTAGGGTCCCGCGTAAAGTAGCTGGGTATATCAAAGACTAGGACGGAGAGAGTGTAGAGAGCATCGAAGCCGATATGAACCGATCAGACATCTTACGTAGGTACCCAGGTAGGTATAGTTTCTATGATGAATTGATCGCTTTCAATGCCTCCTTGGGCCACCACTCTTGATATAGATTTATTTTCCATATGTTGTTGAATTGGGTGATACTCTTTGTGTCAAATGATAGTTGTGGTTTGATAACAACGGGAAGATGATAAAAAAATGGATGGATGCACGGGATCTTGATGAAATCTCGAATTGTTATCGCTGTTGCTGTTGTTATTGTCGTTGGTATTGATGTTATTGATGTTGATGCTGTTGTTGATGGCGATGATGATGGCGATGAAGAAGAAGTTGTAGTTGTTGTAGTTGTAGTAGTCTATGTGGTAGTTGATGTTGATGTTGATGTTGATGTTGATGTTGATGTTGATGTTGATGTTGATGTTGATGTTGATGTTGATGTTGATGTTGAGAATAGAAATAGAAATGAAGATGAAAATAAAAATGTTCACCGGCGCTGGTCATCGACACCTTCCTACCACCCGCGAGCTACCAGTCGCACGGACACTTTTTAGCTGGGAGTACGGTAGGTAGTTTGATCGCACGGTACTTTGAACAGAGATGACTACCCAGTATCTACGACCTTATGCCCTTACCTTACTACTACTATCTAGCTACCTACCTATCAAAAATAAATCAATTCCGGTCAATCTCTCCTCCGTCTTCTCCTTCTCCTTCTCCCTCTCGTCATACATTCGTCGGCGGGGTAGATAACTTCATCATCCTGCGAGTAGCTACCGCATTTCTATAATTAATTCGATCGGTTTTGGAGACATCTTGGCTTCCTTACTAACAGGTGTCTTGTCTGTGTCTGTCTGTCTGTCTCTGCTTAGGTAGGTAGTATCATCGTGTACCTTCCTGCCTTCCTTTCCTCCCGCAATATTGACCTCATCGATCAATTGAAATCCAAGAACTAATCATCTTGCTAGATACTCATACCACTGCCTCGAATCTCGATCTCTCGACAAACGAATGAAACGATCCTCGTGCAATTACAAAGGGAATATGCAGCCAGCCGTTTGTGAGACTTGACTAGGGAAAATACCCACCAACACGACAGGGTCATAAACAAGGAAATATATGCGACAACCACATTCGTTTACAGGATATACAAGATATACAGTAGAATACTCGAATGCAGCATTTATCAAGTGAACGAGTCTCGAGCAGGTGATGCCGAGATGCACCTGGGCCCAACATCCACTTGTAGATCCAACCCACTTAATGTACTGCCATGCAATTTGATTTCATTTCTTCATACTCAACCGGTTCGCGACTTCACGTTATCTTATCAAAAGATGAGAATGCATGCGCTCCACTTACGCATCGACACTCTTACGACTTCCCAACATTCATTTTCACGAAAAAGTTTGGAGATGCCGACCCATTGTTCTCGCAAGACTGGACTTATTGGGTTGAATTCACGAGCATCTACCACCGACCAAAGTGTCGGGTCTCCAATAAAGCAAGGGGATGAAGAGTAAGCATCTCATGGGTCAATTGGATGGGTGACATCGTGAGAACGTCACTTGCAGTAGATTGGTGATGGCATAGATTTCGAGCCCCAGCCGTGGGGATTCCTGGTGAGATCCGTCTAGCATTCCCCACAACTAATCTCATACGAAGTTTGCATGGTTGGCGTCTCACGAATCTATCATCCCCCAAATCTGTGATGGAGGTCAATGCACACAGTCACGATGACTGAGATGTGTGGCACATACATGCAACTAGCGACATGCCACAACATCTCAGATTTTGCGTTTTAAGTTTGGGAGTTTTACAAATTTACGCGTTATGATCCAGATAATCTCTTCTCTCGCCACAAGCTGTGGCAGTCAGCAATCAACATCTCGATGCTCAATCTTCTCCAATTTGCAATTTCCCTAAAATCGAAATGCTTGTCTACCCAAAGTCGCACTTATTTTGTCACTATTTTGGTTCAAAAACAGTGCCATGCGTGGTTGTCAGGGTATAGAGCCAACCATTGGTGAGATCTTCCAAGGCTTCAGCCCTCGACATGGGTTGATCAAATGCAATTATCCGGGACACAAGTCAGTCTGACACGGCCATATCCGTACAGTACCATTTCCACGGGATCAAGCCGGTCCGCCCCCCGGCTTAGTATTGCATCTTGTATTGGCTCTTTATTCTCCTCCCATCGCACATCACGACTCTTTACTCTAACCCAGCGAAAATAATTTACCGTCCAGATGGGCGCATGCTGTGTGCAGTTTGTTCAACCACATAGGGCTGTTCAGACTTGAATATAATGCCCCTCTTCTTCTCAGAGATTTCCTGAAACCAGCAATTGACTTGAATGCTCGAACGTTTGCTAATGTTTGCTCCACTAAGCCCAAATAACTCATCACATATGCATGGATCCAACATTACTCCGCGGCGAGCTTTCCGAGCCCCGCCAATTTATCACAACTTTCTATCACAATTTGATATAGTATTTGCATATACAAACACTCCTTCCATTGTTAAGGCCGCGTAGTGCGCTGGAAAAGTTTTACCTGACCGGGGAATAAGTTATTCTATGCATACCGATCCGACAATATCAGCCGATCGGGCTCTAGGCTGATGCTAAGATTTAACTCAGAACTAGTTGTTATAGTAATGGCGTTCGACATAATCCATACCTCAATATGTCGCCGACGGATTTCGCTTCAAGCCACTTTAAGCAAGGTCAAATTGACACCCCCCCATGAGATCTCTAGACCTTATCCTTCCCGCGTCCACTATGGATTTAATCCTAGAGCTTATATCTTCTTTTATCATGGCTCATGATAGCTCTCGCTTGGTGCCTCGCAAGATCCATGATCCATGAGGACTTTGACCTCTTTCGAAAGATGGTAGTATATCCCTTTCATCAAAAGCCTCAGCGCCACACACTGTAGGTTCACAAGGTAGCCAATGCTGCCTCGAATTCTGACGTGCTGGCATGATGTTAGCGTCCTTCTGGATCACGACCATGTTAGTTTCCGATTGGCCATCACTCTAGCTACAATGTCTTCGAAATTGCAGCCTTGGTTAGGTTATCTTATAGATCCCTGCCAGTAGCAAATCTATCAATCACCCTTTTAGGATATCGTTTGTATGGGAAAGATTTCAGCAGCAAAGCATACTAGTGAATTGCCAGCCTTGTCTGTTTTTGTTTCACTATCTTTGCCTCCCCGGTCAAGGCACTTGATTGGAATATTTCGAATCGCTCTGTACAACCTTGCCTACCGGCACTTTCACCAGTAGTGGGGAACAAGTGTATATGAATCAATCTCCTTCCATTGCTTTACAGGCCGGAAAAGACTTGTCCAGATCTCACAAAACGCATTCATTTCCAAAGTGTGACGCATATACAAATACTGAACATATTTCCTCCTTCAGTACATACACTTTCTCAATAACTTCAACCTCTTTGATTGTCTTCAGTTCCTATCTGTTCTATAGTCTTGTCTTTCTCCAACTTTTCGTGTCAACTTGACAAAGTCTTGATTTCGGATCAATCTTTACACTATCAGCAACAGCAAGCCTTGCATCAAGCAAGACAACTCGAAAAACTGGCGATTATGTCACACACATCAGGCAACGCCTGGCGCTGGAGTGAGGATTCTCACATTCCATTTTGTTATATGGATACAGCCGGCATGGTCCAGTCCATGAATCCCCAAACAACTTCAGCAGGCTTGGGGAGAGCAACCGTTGCTGCCCCCATCATGCCAATAAGTTCTTACGGTGGCAGCACTTTCAATATGACCAATGGCCATCAACAGATTCCACAGAACTCATATGGTTTCACATCTTACAATGATGGTAGCTTAACCACTATCATCCCAAGTTACGGAGCCAATTATATTCAGTCACGACCCCTTCCCGGCATGATGCAATCTTTTGCTCCTACTTCAAAACAGGCTCCTTTCAACGGAAGCAACCGACAAGGATTCGTGGGAAGCACGCATCAAAATCAAAGTCCTCAAATCAAACCTGAACCTTCATGGACAACACCTGCAAGTCATAAATCACCACCGAAAACTCAATCAACCCCACCACCTAGCAAAGACATAAATCCTCTACCTTTGACTGGCTCTGACGAGGCACACATTGGAAGCACAGCAATTGACCGACTTATGAAGGTCATTCAGACCAAAACACAAACATTGCAAACACAATTACCACCTATTCCTCAGATTACACCTGTGGTAGGTGCACCCCACACCCTCTCTCGACAGGATTCAACGTATCGAAGATTTTATGGATATGAAAAAGAAGAAAAGCAAATGCTCACATCTGGTAAGGCTCCAAGTGAACCAGGTCACTCAAAGAGAAAAGAGAAGAAGTATCGATGCACCTTCGAGAATTGTCCATCGAGTTTCCCACAGAAGACACACTTGCAAATCCATCTTCGAAAGCATACCGGTGCAAAACCATACGTAAGCAACTAAAATCTATGAACTTCATTTGGTATGTACCCCAAACTAATAGTATCTATTTAGACATGTAGCTGGAAATCTTGCGGTCGACAATTCTCTCAACAAGGAAATCTCAAGGTAAGAGTTCTTTTTTTTTTTTTTACCTCTCATCTGTCAAATTTTCATACTAATCAAGAATCTCAGACGCACATGAATCGTCACAGTGGCGAACGACGCTTTCCTTGCGAAATATGTGGCAAACGTTTCGGACAACCAAGCAATCTGAGTGCTCATAGAATCGTTCACACTGGCGAAAAACCCTTTACATGCAAACTCGATGGATGCGAAAAACGTTTCACACAACTTGGTAACCTCAAAGTACGCTGACTCTTTACCTTTTCATTTTAATCTTTCCTTCCATCGTCTCAGTCATAGAATCAACTCTAACATTCTCACTCAGTCTCACCACAACAACTTTCACCAGCAAACAATTGAAAACCTCATGTTGAAACTTGAAAGCGGCGAAATCGACTTGGAGGCTAACAAAGAATTCTGGTCTTACTTCTTCACTCTCTACAAAAACAGTAACAAGGGCATCAAAGGACGAGGCAAAGATAGAAACATCAGTCCCCGAAGTCGGTTATCGAAGAACGGCCACGCAAGTACTGGTACAAATGCTAGTCGTTATATCTCGTCTGACATTCGAAGTTGTCATGGACTCATGGGCGTAGACCCAACCTCGCCATTTAGTAGTGATGTAACAATGTACGATTCCGATGCGAGTCTAAGGAGTCATACGAGTGGAAGCATGAGTGTACATAGTAGTTATGGTTCTGTCTCCAGCGATGGAACGGCATCTACCTGCTCAAGTTTCTCAGATGAGATTACAGGTGATTATAAGGATCATCGTGGAAACTCAAGAGGCGGATTAGCTTTTGGAGAGAGACTGTACTAAAATTCTGCCATCAACTCAAGACAAGACAGTTGTGGGGATTGGTGAGGGGAGGAGGGGCTAGCACATATAAACAAACGTACAAAGTTACGAGAAATGCAAGTTACGAACGAGCAGACAAACGAAAAGACGAAAATGGACGAATGGTAGAAGATTATCTTCATCATCACCACGACTATCATTCTCATCATCATTATCAAACGACCACGCACACGACCATTTTAAAAAAAAAAGCGTTGTATTTTTACGGCACCAGACCGAGTATCTCCCCACCACTTCTCTATTAGAAGTGTTTTACCAGGACACTTTCTTTTCTCAATTTTCTTAATATCTTTTCATTATCACAATCACTTGATTTCTATTTCATTTTTCGCTTTTCATTTATCGGGTGGTAAAGTCAATTCAAAAAACTGCGGATATCATGTATTTCTTAGGAAGGGCAGGGGTCTTTGTATTTGGGCACGCAATAGTGGAACGGGGAGATGTTAACAGATGTATGAGGATGCAATGGGAATTGGAATGGGGCAAAGGGATGGAGTATATTTTGTATGGACAGGAGGAATCGACGCAGAGTGGAATAAGTGGAGAGAAAGTGGGAAAGGGAAAGTTAAATGTTGAGTATCATTGCCACAATAGTCAAGTGAATTAGATTTATTAACGAATAATATGACCACATTCTTATCAATTCAGCTTGATCTATTGCAAAGCTGTCTATTTTTATGATACGATGGTGTTAGCAATGCGTTATTCTAATCTTGAAGTTTTTACAATTACCGAAGGACTAGAACTCAAGAGGTGGATCCCAAAACAAATTTTACATCGCTATTGAATCTTCTCCAGACCCTCAAATAAATTACACGTAGTAACCACTACAAGTATTGACATCTCATCCATCCCTTACCTTAAACGGTCAGCCTCCCAGCTTCGCCGCAAATCATCCCGTCTGGATTCTCAGCCGATTACTGAAACCCGACGCAAGGGAGAAGGAGAATATGGTAAAGAGCTGCCTACTTCCGACTTCTTCCTCCCAAACTGACTTTTCGATCTGAACTAACACACCGAAAAACTGCAGTGAGAAATCTCTAAAATGTATGTATGTGTGTGTATGTGTACAGATTACAGCGCAAAGGGCACGTGAAAGAATGGATGAATTGTTCTACACGGTATGCAGGTACATTGCCTTCAACTACGGCATTCGCCTCGCTTTCGCATTGATCTACACACCGAGTACCTACCTATGTGCAAGCAAGCAAGCTCAGTAGACTCTACTCTGCACTGACGAAATCTCTGATGTTGCACTGCTTTCACACACATATATACATACATACACACATATGTACATGGTACACAGCATATCAGATGTACCCGGGGGAACAGGTATATGTACGATTGATGCAGTTCTGCATGCATACTCGAGCATCATTCACCGCTTCACCCCAGGTTACATTCTATCACATACACCACATGCCGATGCTGAAATCGTCACTTGGACAAACGAATCGTGGTCAATCTGGCATGCATCCAGATAATGTCGCTCGACTGACTCGAGCCATGCTTCCACGCCCCCACGCGCGATTCAAACGCAGAATTAATATCCTTCCATGTCTTTCTGCGTTTGAAGTAACGTTCCGTATATGCCGTATAACTGGGTACATAAATTGAGCCAGCGTCGCATCAACGCTAAACCCTGTTCAAAATTCAAATAAGCTTAATCCCCATTTCCTATCACCGGACTGGATGGAGCAGCGGTTAATACTCGATAAATCGATGAATCGATAAATCCATAAATCCATAAATCCATATACATTGCCGAGCCTTCGAGTATTTGGATGCACTTCGAAAATCCTTCAATCACTCACTCAATACTCACAGAAACCTTAACGCTCTTTTAGGACAAGTGTGGAGACCAGGTTGTTGAGCGTGTCGTGTTGCGGGTCTGCATTCCCTCTTTCATCTCCATCCGCATCGTGCACAGATCTTATGATCTCATCTCGTTGCAAACGAAAACGCGGGAAACAATCCCAGCATGTCTAAGGTTAACAAGTTTAGCAAACCCGGCAACTAGTAGTAGTACCGTCGTAGTCAGTAAATCGGCAGCTAGCAGCGGGAGGGAATCTAGATCTCCCGCGTTCCCCCCTTTAGTTGCACCTGTCTTTGACTTTGCTTTCGATGCTTCCAAGATCTGAATGGGAACTAGTGTGCAGGTCTGGATTGTGTTTGGCATGCTTCTGGCAACGATTGGTATGCGCAAGGGAGGCATTTTGAACCAGACATTTCCCCTAGGCTCGTCTAATTTAGGAAATAATCGGTCGTTTTGGGCATAAGTGCTGAGTGTTTTTTTGGCCATTCAGACCCAGTGTGGGGTTTTGTCAATTCTCGCTCGATTTCCCGTTTCCTGTCGCGTTTGTGTACAACAGGACATGGGGCTTTCTCGATTCGCAATGCGATTCATCGTCCATGTCATGGATTTTGCGATCTTGACGGCTTGGCCTATGGCGCGACACGGATGGGACGGTATATGTGTGGCACAGACTGGAGGATATGCTCGAGAAACTAGCTTTTGGGTACTCACTGCATAATATATATGGACGGACGGGAAGAGCCTGTGAATAGCCGGTTTTTAGCTTAGGGATAATAAATAGGTAATTTTAACATCATGTCAAGTCCTGTCTCTACTAAAAACACTTGCAAAATAATATCATATCAGAATTAATTATATTTATATCTTCTGGGCTGAGCATTGGGAAACTTGATGCTGGAATGGGGATCGTCAAGAGAAAGGGGCTGGGTGTGTGAGGCTTGTTTGTCAATTGCGCGATAAACCTTTACCCATGACGCAGATCCGAACACGGGTACATTACGTGCAGGGGAATGGAAGGCATCGTTTGGATTAGGATTATTTTGGAATGTATTTGGAATGTAGAATTCATGACGGCCCGATGATCAAACTTTGCTGAGCCGAGACAAGGCGAACTCTCTTGTCATCGGATTCTCGGATCATCAGCTGGCTGATATATGATACATCGGTCGCCCCTCATAATCACATCCTATCATATAACCAGGATGAAGAAAATTCCTGACTCATGTATTTCGCCTTAGTGAAATAAGGGGGTCCTTTCAGTATCCAATAAATTTCCCAGACCATCTTGAAAAAAATGATATATTGTATGTAGCTTGTAAATAAACTCAGCTGCAAACTTCACTGCGACCCCACAACCCGGTAATCATCAGATTCAGCCCCCATGGAGCGTCGACACGAATAATATGTTATCATTGGATTGCAATGCGTAGGAAGCTTCACCCTCTAATTCCCAATCTGCGTCGTTAATGAGAACTAGGATACCGGGACGCCTAGGGACACGAAAAAGCGTGGTTAGTATGGAATTTTAGTATGTTCTAGTGCATACGGGGAAGAGGCTTGGTACTGGGGATAGGTTTTGAAACGGTGAAAGCTCAAAAGAGAGTGGAGGGAAGGTGCAGATAATGGAATTTCCGATGAACATTAGGGGCATAGCATAGAATGGCATCGACACCCAAGCCCAAGAGGATCCAAAAAAACACTTTCAGCGAAACCAACCCATGGTTATACACACTCGTGTTTTTTCCTTCCCATCCCATGTCTTGCTAGACATTGAGGAAATTGGAAATAATAAACTCGCGACTCACACGTGATCGTCCAGAACAAACATGTCTTTTCTGCTATCTTGCATGATTTCGTCGCACAGATAATTTACCAACCAGCCGACTGTAACGGGATCGCCCTTGGAATCTGTTTTGGGGATTGGGAGTTTGTGGGATCGTTGGTCGGAAAATAACATTTCAAGACCGCCACTGTTGGAGGGTTAGTTGGAGTTGTTTTAGGGACTTTAGGGGTTGAGGAGATAGGCGTACGTGAATTCTACCATGATAGAGAGAGTATCTGTCGCCATTTTGAAGTTATGTTGTGGACTTTTGTATTCTTGAGAGTTTGATATTGAAGTGGTGGTTTGCGTCGGGGAAATTTTGGCAGCGGCAGAAATTTGACGCTTCACAGCCTCGCTTATTTTGGACTTCTCACTTCAGACAACAGCGTTTATTCTTTGTCGAAAATGAAGTTTATGATGGAAACAATTATAGAAGCATTGAATGTTCTATTATACAAGATGTATAGAATTAACTCCAAATCTCACGCTGTTTTTCATATCAAGATCAAAGAATCTGGATGAGAATTGAATTTTTAACCAATTTTCAAAATGCAATATGGTGATGTAACTCCAACCAAAAATTCCTGTAAAAATGAGTGAAAACAATTTTCACGACATCAACAAAATATCTCCCGCACAGCAATATTAAACCCACCACAAACTCACGACTTTATATGATATTGAAGTTGAATCTGGATATGATTCAGACGATTTTACGATAAACACTATTTTCTTTCGTGAATGCTTTGATGAAACAATATCAATATGATGGATAAAATTACTCCAGAATATCTCGCGGCAGGTGCCAATAGACATCCTTCTGCTGCCGATTGGGACGAGTCTGGACTTTTGGCCTATGGAACAGATAGGAATATCGCATTATGGTATCCCGGAGTAAGTCTTGATATGTCTTTGATGCAGCACCTGGTTATGGAGAATTATGACCGGTCCTATGATGCCTATCAAGAGAAAGTACTGATGATATCTAGAATGAAACTTCCAGAAGCGTTTTCGAATTTCTGAGTGGCCATACGGATACTGTCAATGTGGTGAAATTCGTCCCGAAATCACATGGTCTCATACTCAGTGGATCTGTGGATAAGACGGTCCGCATCTGGAAGCAGGATGAAGTATCCAAGACGTATACTTGCATTCAAACTATTACCCATCATCAGAGCACAATCAATTGTATAGCTGTGACGGAAGGATCCCAGGTCTTTGCGACCGGATCAGCAGATGCGATTGTCAATGTGTGGAAACTGCATGAGGGCAATGTTGCAAGTTTGCAGCAGTCTATCACGATTACTCCTCGATTGTTCCCTTTGGCTTTGGCTTTGAGTTCTTTGACTGGAGCTTCGGATTCTTTGGTTCTTGCAGTTGCGGGTACTAAGGAAATTATTCAACTTCATGTGCTCGATGCAAAGGCAGGATCAGAATTCAAATACAAAGCTACATTATCCGGACATGAAGGATGGATCCGATCGTTAGAATTCACTAAAGAGAGCGATAGTCCAACAAGTGATTTACTCCTCTCATCAGCGAGTCAAGATAAATACATCCGACTCTGGAGAATCCATCAAGGCAAAGAATTGCCTGCCGCAGCCACAGCAGCCGATCCCACATTCGGTGCATTCATGCCTGGAAAATCTCTATCCAACAAGGCTCATCGATTTCAAGCTCAAGAATTAGATTTCTCGGCTACGTTCGAAGCTTTACTGCTCGGACACGAAGACTGGATTTACAGTACACGCTGGCTTTCTCCATCATTGACCTCCAGCCAAAAACCCCAACTCCTCTCCGCATCAGCAGACAATTCTCTCGCCATCTGGGAACCCGACACCCACACCGGCGTCTGGGTAACCATCGCACGACTTGGCGAGATCAGTGCGGAAAAGGGTTCTACCACTGCCACCGGTAGCACCGGCGGCTTCTGGACAGGTCTCTGGTCTCCCACCGGCCGCACCGTCGTTTCGCTCGGCCGAACGGGAAGTTGGCGTCTCTGGAACTACGATACATCTTCCGATCGCTGGGCCCAAAACACTGCCATCACAGGCCATGTGAAACCCGTCATGGGAATCGCGTGGTCGAAAGATGGAAGTTATTTGCTCTCGACGAGCACGGATCAAACTACTCGCCTACATGCCCAGTGGAAGCGAGATGCAATTAGCAGTTGGCATGAAATGGCAAGACCGCAAATTCACGGCTACGATTTGAACTGTATCGATTCCCTCGGCGGCTCCCAATTTGTCTCCGGCGCCGACGAGAAACTCCTCCGCGTCTTCGACGAGCCCCGAGCCGTCGCCACCCTCCTCCACAAACTCTGCGGCATCGGCACTGAAAACCCCACCCATATGCCCGACGCAGCCAACATGCCCGTCCTCGGCCTCTCCAACAAAGCCATCGAAGTCATCACCGACGACGCCCAACCTATCTCCCCCAACGACCACGACCGCGAAGCCATAGACCCCGCATCCATCGTGCACAAATCAACACTCGATCTCTCCTCCCCTCCCCTCGAAGACCATCTCTCCCGCCACACCCTCTGGCCCGAAACCGAAAAACTCTACGGCCACGGCTATGAAATTTCCGCGCTGGCAACCTCCCACGACGGATCGATCATTGCCACCGCTTGCAAAGCGAGCTCCATCGATCACGCTGTCATCCGCCTCTTCGAAACCAAGAACTGGCATGAACTTAAACCTTCTCTGACCGCACACTCTCTCACCGTCGCGCGTCTGCGTTTCTCAGACGATGACAAGTATCTCCTGTCCGTAGGACGGGATCGTCAATGGGCGATTTTCGCCCGCGACGATGCGGATTCGAATAATTATACTTTGGCGGAGAGTAATCCCAAAGGACACACGAGGATGATTCTCGATGCGGCGTGGGCGCCTTCTCCTCCTCCTCCTCATTCTTCTTCGAGTACCCCATCCCCCGTCTTCGCAACCGCCGGACGCGATAAAAGCGTTAAGATCTGGAGCCACGATTCCGAAGGTAAATTTATATGTAAAGCGAGCATTCCATCCGACGCCCCCGTTACCGCGATTGATTTCTGCGATGAGGTGGTGGCGAATATAGTGTATTTAGCTGTTGGGACTGAAGGTGGGAAGTTTGGGATTTATCGAGTGGAGATTGGAGATGAGATTATGGTGAATGAGGTGTCGTTGGAGATTAGGTATGTGTTGTTTTACTTCATCAAGTCATGTTCATGTTCATGTTTATCTTTCTTCAATCTTTTACATTATTTCGTCTTCCATTTCGATAGATATACTAACACAAAATCACAGCAATAAATACTACCCCTCCAAAGCCATCAACCAACTAGCATGGAAACCTTCTTCAAAAGAAACATCAGAGAACGACACTAAAAGTATGAAGCTTGCAATCGCAAGTGAAGATAGTTCTTTGAGGATTTATTCTCTATGTTGAATAATTCTAAGGGGTATCGTATGTTAAAGTACGCCTCCTGTGATGCTTTTGTTGAACGCCAAACCAATCTTCCTACCCTTACATAGATACATACAAAGTTTAAGGAGTTAAGGCACTCTGAAGAAAATAGAAAAATGGAAATAGAAGTATGAAATATCCCTTGGACCTGCTCTTTAGTTGAAGTTGAGCTGCACCGTGTTGTCCCATGTGTATATACGCGTTAAAGCGCTTCACCACATTATTCTCCCTGAAATCCATCTAACCTTTTCCCTGCCTCCTGCTCCCCATCATGAGTCCTCTCAACTAAACCTTCTTTTCACTTCCATATCCACCGACACCTGCCTCTAGATAACTAGTTCCCGAACTTCCAGCATTCTTTCTCGGTCCTCTCTCCTTCAAATCCTCTCCCAACCACTTAAGTACCAATTCTCCCAATCTCGAATTCCCACTACTATCTCCACTCATCTCCTTCTCAAACTTCTCGATACTCCCCCACTCCTTCACTCGTCCAAGACTCATATGGACCAAATCCGTCGGCCATCCCGCCAAATTATCCAAAATGTGGGTCGCATACACAATCGTACATTTTCTCTTCTCCGTCTCCTCTCTCAGGAAATCCAAAAATCTCTTTCGACTCAAGAGATCCAAATCCACGGTGATCTCATCTAGCAACAGGATTCTCCACGGTCTAATAAGTCCCATGGCAAGTTGTACTCTTCTTCTTTCGCCATCAGATACTTGATGCATGCGCCATTCCAAATCGATATCTAGAACTTGCACAAGCTCGTCTCTGCGCTCGGGATAGTGATTTCCGCCGACGGATGTGAGGAGTTCACGCACGCCAATGTCGGTGCGTACGATGGGGTTGAGTACCCATTCGAGACCGAGATAGGTTACGCCGACGAGAGAATCTTTGAAGGGATCGAGACCGGAGATGGAAATTGTGGAGGTGGGTGCGAGGCGTTTGCCGGAGAGGAGACGGAGAAGTGTGGTTTTGCCGGCACCGTTTGCGCCGATGAGTCTGAGAGGAGGAGGTTAGCTATGATTCGTAGAGACAAAGGCTAAATTGAGAGCAATCCGCAAAAAGATCGAGTAAATGAACATCCACCCATCCATCCATCCATCCATCCACCAAACCACACAACACAACGCAATACAACAACAACGCAACAGAGCCGACCAAAAAAGTAAGAAACCAACAAACATACAAAGTCCTCGAACTCGGCGGCAAACCCAACGTAATATCCGTCAGACCCAACGTCGAATCCGGGAATTTATAAGTTAAATTCTTGACCTCAATTGACGGGGCAGCCGTCTGATCATCTACTGAATTAACCATTTTTGCTTGTTTCGTATCTATTTATCTTCTTTCCTTGCAGACCGGAGAAGAGAGAAAGAGAAGAAAGAGAAGAAAGAGAGAATATCCAAACGCAAAGAAGAAAAACCACAATAATAAGGTTTATATAAGTTAACTTAGTTAACTTTATTAGTTAACTTATGAATTTATGAATCTATTTGTAATTGTTTAATGTATATCTCTTGCGGGATAGGAATCGATGACGCTATCTTATCTGAAATTCGCAATGGCAGGGACTAGGGACAGAGTGATTAGATAAGCAGAGTCTGGAACAGCTTCATATTTTCGTATTCGCTTGAGGATGAGGTTGACTTGGGTTTGGTTATGGATTTGACTATTCTCGTTTCGCGTCAAGCTTTCTCTGTACATAGTTGGATAGTTGGATAGTTGGATAGTTGTCTAGCTTCCGTTGTGCTCTCACAGTGGATTCTAAAAGTTTGAATCGTTCGTTCATGAAGTGTTTGAGGAGCTTCATCTCTAGTGATTGTGATCATTTCGTTTGATTTTCGTCTCAAATCTCAGAGATACGGATACACAATATACATGATATCAGCGCTCAAGTGAGTGTATCAAGACGATAGCAGAAGGAATATGTTTACATTCAGGCACATGAGTGAGACTTCAGTGTTCGTTTCGAAAATTTCTGCATCCTTTCTCAAATTAACATCCCCATTTTCATCGTCCTGCTCTACTCTGGCACTTCATTTCCAATATCCGCCCAAAAATTACATCTTGCTCCCCTTCCCCCTTCCCAATCGTAGGCATCCACGATTGCTAAATCAGCTTCCAATCCCAACCCTGTATCTTTTGTTACATTAAAACTCAATCCATCTCCCGTCGTCCATGCAACCTCTGTTGGTTGCCCTCCAGTCATATTCAATTTTAACATCTGATATGCGCCATACCCATCAGTTTTCCACTGTGGCCATACACCAGCCCCTGCTGCGGATATATTGTCTCCCGTCTGAGTTCCATTCCCAAGAGTGGTGATAGATGTAACGACATCGCTAGGGAGTGTTGGATCGTTATAAATGATGAATCTCCCCCATATTTTCTGTACCGCGGCACGAAAACCAGGAGATAGTGTCCCGGAGCCAACGTTGTCACTGTTTACGTCAAGATATGCATTCTGATCTCCTCCGTGCTCCGACGGAGGGACACTGAACTCATATTTCCAGGCTTGGGAATATGCAGAGGCTAACCAGTAGGAGGGACAGACAAAGGTACTTTCAGCATAGAGATTGTTGGCTCGTTGCTGTTGACCAATGGCGTATATAGGCTGCACACAAATTATCTGTACCCGTGGATTATCTACAAATAATCCACTCTATAGATTATTTATTAAAGGTTTTATTTACTTTATGAATTATTTATTAAAACTTTAAAATTATTTACTTTATATAAATAATCTATAGATTATTTGTAAATAATTTATGGATATATAAGTAAATAGATTATTTATAAATAATTTATAAATATATAGAATCTCCACTTTTTTCGCTTAAAATATAAAGTTATTTTTAGATTATTTTTTAGTCTAAAAGTAATTCAAGTTTAAATTTTTATTAATTTTTATATTAATTATAAAATTATATTAATATTATAAATAATTATATAAATATACAAGTAGGTGGATATTTGTAGGTAATTTGTATTCATCTTGTGGATTATTTATTCAGATTTTTGAATTATCTATTCCACAAATGAATTATCCGTGGATTATCTGTTGAGGCCATTATCCGCCCCGCGGGTACCTGTTGCGCAGCCTAGGCGTATACGGATTGGTTGAGAGCTGTGGGGCCATGGTCGCCTGCTGATGCGAAGAGAGGGCCTGGGATCGTTGGTGGGATGGAGTAGGTTTTGAGAAGGCGATCGTAAGTTGATTTAGACATCTGGGGAAAGAGGGATTGTGTGTAAGCGTTGAAAGCGGCCGTTGTGTTGATATGTTGTGGGACAAATGCAGGGCCTTCATTAGCATTGTTCTGGGGAAGGTTAGCTGCGCGTCACTTTCCTGAAGATTTAGTTAAAAGGGGTACTCACGCCAGATAATATCCTCACACCATTAACCTCTCCAGCTAATAACTGTTCTGATGGTCTTTTGACTACGAACTCACCATCTGTTACTGGTAAGAAAGCCCATTGTCCGTAATCAACACTTCCAGAGATGTATGCACTAGCATTCTGCAGCGCAATCGTATCCGCACCGACTAGACAATCGGAAGTACTCCTATTACCTGTTCCGCACCCGACAGCCTCCACAAACTTTCCATAACTCTCCTCTGGCAACAATCCGTCATAATTATACTGCATTGGAAAAAACGGACTTGCCACAATCACATTATTGAACAAACTCGTTCCTAAACTTCCACCAAATGCCATACTTTGCAACATTACTGCGCCACCCCCTGCCGAAATCCCACCAAGAGTAACACGAGAAGGATCTCCTCCGAATTTGGCAATGTGAGATTGAACCCATTGGAGTGAGAAATTCATATCATAAAGAGCGGCGTTTGGGACACCACCTGAGCTGACAAGTTCTGACGATGAAAGAAATCCAAAGGCTCCAAGCCGGTACTGGATCGCTACTACAATAAAGCCGTTGGAGTTGGTGTTGGCCATCTCCGAGAAATCATTGTTACCGGAGCCGATACCGTAGCCTCCGTCATCTAAAGGGAGTCAACTTGGATCGTCGAAAGTGAAAGAAATGGACATGAACCATAGACTTACGAATCCAAACCATCACTGGAAGATTTTTCGCATTTGGTGGAGCCCACACGTTTAAAAACAGGCAATCTTCATCCCCAAGAACTGAGCTCGTGAAATTATAATTTGCAGCCCTTGGATTGTTAGTACTTTGAAATACCAGGAACACTTGACTGATACTTACAAAGGGGCGCCGAGGCTTTGGGGACAGCGGGTAGGGTAGTCAGTTGCCTTTATGGTCGAAGTTCTGTTGACAGCTGGAGGTTGTGGTTTTTGCCAACGCAGTGCTCCTGTTGGAGGTGCTGCATATCGAATTCTGGTTCCATTAGTTTCCTGCCTTTACGAACGATCGAATCGATGCGATACATACCCTTTGAAGATGTTGAGGTGTGATGTGGCATTGTAATATCCCTGATATATATTATATCTAGGCTGTGCAACGGGTATCTGCGGGGCGGATAATGACCTCAACAGATAATCCGTGGATAATCCGTCTGCAAAGCGGATAATTCAAAAATCTGAATAGATAATCTATAAAGTAGATATAAATTATTTATAAATATTTATTTATTTATATATTATATAATTATTTATAATATTAATATAATTTTATAATTAATATAAAAATTAATATAAATCTAAGCTTGAATTACTTTTAAACTAAAAAATAATTTGGGAATAGCTTTATATTTTAAGCGAAAAAAGTGAAGATTCTATATATTCATAAATTATTTATAAATAATTTATATATTTATATATTTGTAAATTATTTGTAAATAATCTATAGATTATTTATATAAAATGAATAATTTTAAAGTTTTGATAAATAATTTATAGAGTAAATAAAATCTTTAATAAATAATCTATAGAATGAATTATTTGTAGATAATTTATAGGCATAGATAATTTGTGTATAGCCTAATTGTATTCAAGCTCAACTGTTGGAGATGAGGTGCTGCTACTTTGGTGTTCACCGAACTGCGATTTCTTGATCTCCACGGGCGAACATGATATTATTGTTGCCGAAAATAGCAGAAGGAATTGAGAAAGCAGCATGATCACCAATCAACGCCCGATCAAGGATATCTTGATCAACCAGAATAAATTGTCCGAATTATATCTGCACGACCAGAAGGGACTGTTAAGGTGTCTTGTGCCAAGTTGTTATTATGTAGTAAGATTGAAACTTTCTCCGCTTCTCTCTTCATCACCATTCTTATATACATATCAAAATAGCAAGATACAGTGATAGGGGTATGTTATTTCGATCATCACAAATCCGAGACTTTCTCTAAGCACAGGTCTCTTAACAATGCTGGGTTGTTCGGGTGTCAGAGTGTCGAATATTCCGTTCATTTTGACGACAGATTCTAGGGGATCTGTTGGAATGTAAAAGGGCCGAAAAGTGTGTCTATTTATGGGCTTTTTGAAAGCTTAAATTCAATATACATTTCCATCCGTAGTTTTTATTAATTGGTATGAGAAGATAGAAAACGCGGATTGAAAACGATGATGTCACGGGTCAGCCGATATCAGGTAAACTCAGCTCACCCTGAAAACTCTATATATAATCTTCACACAGTTTTTATATTATAGCTCTTTGAACTATATCTTATTGATAAACTTGATATTCAAGTTTTGTTTATTAGTTCTATAATATTATATAGTTTCTATTATCTAACCTACTCATTAATTTTATTAAATTCGCTGTCTTTATTATTATAAATTTATCAACTTGATATTGATTTTCTAATTAACATTAGTATATTATAGTACTAGCGTACTACTACTAGTCATATATCAAAATCACACATAAAAAAGTCATTTTAATACTTTTATTATATATAAAATCAATAACTTTAACTAAATATTTTTATTTAAATTTTAATATGTATATTATTTCGATATTAATATTCAATTAAATCATATTTCTAATACCCTTTGAATGTTTTTAGATTGTTAATTATTTTATTTTAAAATATGATTATAAAAGTTCATGATTTTCGCTTAATTTATTAGTGAATTTTAGTATTTTGAAGATTTTTTTTCTTTTAATTTTAACTTATTATTCTTTAATATAGAAAATCATTAAAAACAAATTATATACTCTTTGACGAATTTCATTTGATTTTTAATCTAATTATGTAATTAGTTATATAAACTATCGCTTTTGTAATTTAAGAATTAGAAGTATAAAAAGAATGATATAATTTATCTTAAATAAAAAAACGTGTAAATCTTTTTATATTTAAGTAAATTAGAATCATTCGATATGTATAATACATATGAAAAACTAAGAAAGTTAGTAATAGTAAAGAGTTAATATATTATATAATATACTAAAGAGTATATGTAATAATAATATATTAACTAGAAATAGCTTTTAATCTATTTTATATTATACAAACTATTAATCCTAAAGAAAAAGATACTAGTTTTCTTAATAAGTATATTTAATAGCAAATTAATAATTTAAAGAGAGATTTATAGTTTATTTCATTTAATATGAAATCTCTTAAATTTATTAAATTTATTAATATATTCTTTATTAATAATAAATTTATTCTTTTAAATTGAATATATTATTATTTTAATAAACAAGTAAAATAAAGCTAATATTATCTCTTAATTATTAATCTAATATAAAAGAATATCAAAAGTATACTAGTATTAAAGCTCTATAGTATTACGAATCGAACCTAATCGTAATGAAATTACTTATATATACGCTCATGTATACGTAGCTAATATAAAGGAGTACTCTATAGGCACTCCGTCTTCTATTCTATAGTTATAGATTTTCCGAATAAATCATACTCTGCTTTGAGAGTTCTTCTAAGACAAAGTGTTATATTATCTACAACTTGTCACGAATCGGCCTCAATCGCAATTGCGATCGCTCACATGCGTATATACATATATACATAATCATATATTTATAGTTAATATAATGTAGTTTATTAGTACATACACCATATCAATACATACACCACTTTTACCTCAATTTACACTCTTCAATTTCAATATACAATTTATTAACTATTTATTATACAATTAAATAATAAAAAAGAAAGAATACTTTTAGCTATTAAAACTATTAAAAAAGATAAAAAACTTTTAATCTAAAAAACTACTAAACTATATAATATTATATATATAATATTTATTTGAAAAATGAATGAAATAATTTTTATAATTAAATTTCGATTATAAAATCTAAAACTTATTAAAGTGGAAGAGTAAATAATTATTTTACATATTCTTAATATAAATTCAAAAGGTTTTTTTTTTAAATTTAAAGAAGTAAAAGATATAGTAAATTATATTTTTAAATTGAAAAAAAAAAGCTATTAAAAAGCTTTAAATATATTGATTCATAAAATAATATAAAGAATTAAAAATATATTTTAATTATATTTATAGTTTTTAAAAAGCTCTCTATAAGAATTCTAAAATTTTTGAAAAATAATTTCGATTACTTATAAATATATAAATGAAATATAGTATTTTAAATAAAGATTTCTATAGTAGTAGTAAATTCATAATCGAATCTATCTATATAGCTATGCTAAGATTATATGATATACCTATATCTATATCTAATTGAATAAAGTAAATAGAAAAAAGATATAAAAATCTATTCTTTTTTAATATCCCATTGAATTATTTATATTATATATCTATTCTATCTAATACTTATAGCCTATAATACTTATACTTTTGAAGATAATATTATTACAATTGCTTTATTTTCATTCTATAAGTTAGTAATATATAATCTATTTTCACTCGATATAATAATATAAATCCCTTTTTCTTTCTTTTACGATATAACGATTTTTATTATTATTAATATTTTTATTATTGTAATAATATAACTTTGTAATTATTTGTTTTTGTTTTATAATAATTATATTTCTTTATTTGCTTTTTATTTTCCTTACTCTTTTCCTTTTTATTTACCTCATTTAATCTCTTGTTTATTATTTATCTTATTCTTTGTAATGGGATATAAATCCCCTCATTTTCTTTTGGATATTCTGTTGTGCTTTATCCTGTATCTACCCCATTATTCTCTTATCCCCATCAACTCGAACCTCAATCTATTGCTTTTAAAGTAATACCCTTTCAAAATACCTTTTAAGAAGAGGGTAGATGCCCAGAGATTCTCTCCCCACTCTCATCCTATTATACACTCACTTCATAATTGTTATATTAAATATTTATATCAACTTACTTATAATTCTATTATAATCTATATTTATACTTATAGAAAATGTTCTTATTGTTATACTAAAAGAAGTGTATACTATAATATAAATATTTTGTTTTTAGATCTTAACTTTAAGAATTTCTAGCTAATAGAACACTTATTAGTATAAATTCTTGTAAATTGTATGAATATTATGATGGCTGTTTTGTATGTTGTTATTGCCTATGAGGAGGGTATGTAGAGGGTTGTAGGTGATTCTAATGTTTATAATAATGATTAGAACCTTAATGTTTTCATGATTATCTATAATCTTTATATTTATAAAAAGTTATTTATTATCACTGATATTATTAATATTGATTAGCCTACTAAGGTTCCTCCTGAGTATTGTGATCTCTTCGATACATTTGAGGCTACTATATACACTATGGTTGAGAAGTTGTACCACACTTTCGCCACCATAAAGCTGTTATGCGAATATAATAGACCGAGACTATAGAATCTATTGTATCCTTCTTTACCTAATTCGTTAATATATATTATACTATTATAGATTATTTTTTGTATTCTTCTCATTATTATTACTAATTAATATAATATAATTTTTAGGAGGAAGATCTTGATAATAATAATAAAATTAATACAAAAGCTGTATCTCAATTCTTTAAAAATAAAGTTTGAGGTTTGATAGGGTTTTATTGGTATTACTATATTTTTGTAATTATCTTTATAATTTTGATTTATATTTTTAATAAAAATATGTACTGGGGAAGTAGTTCTGTTTTAATAAGCCATGTGGCTGCCCCCTTAAGTGATCCCGAGTCTTGTACGAATAAAGATTTCTATAATTTTAACAAAACAGACTTTATAATAGAAATTATATACATAATAATGATTATTATTAGTACTAAGAGATATAATAGAAGTAAATCAGTATAATTAGATAATCGAGAATGGACTATAATAATAATATATAGGAATAAAAAGGGTAAAATTATTCCCTTATTTTTAATAATTTAAGGATAGATTTATTTTTCCAATTAATACATTAAAATTAATCTTTTTATAAATTAAATTATTAAACCTACATTTAATAGATAAATAAATAATAAAATAGGTTTAAAATAATTAAAATATTTCAATAAATACACTAAGAATCAAAGAAAGAGTAAATATTAAATATTGATA